GTGGCCTATCTGTCTAAGAGACTAGACCCTATGGCTGCAGGGTGGCCAGCGTGCCTCCGGGCAGTGGCCACCACAGCATTGCTGGTAAAGGAGGCAGATAAGCTGACTCTGGGCCAGGAACTAGCCCTGACAACACCCCATGCTGTAGAAGCCCTCCTTCGAGGTGTTCTGGAGAGATGGATGTCAAACACCAGGGTCACCCAATACCAAGGTGCCAAGGAAGCCGCCCAAAAACCAGTGGGGCCTTTACAAGAGGAGGAATTGGCAGAATAGAAGCAAGCTACCAGAGGACCAAATGATTGGTGGACTCTACCAGATGGCAGACTGTTGGTCCCAGAGGCTCTAGGTCAGACTTTAGTTGCCCAGTTACACCAGGCTACCCACATAGGCATCACCAAGAATTCTGAACTTTTGTGAGTCAGGTCACAGGTAAATGCAAGGTAGGGGGGTCCCCCTGGGAATTTGGGCCCAGGGAAACTCCCCAGGAGAACATTGGGAGGTAGATTTTACAGAAATCAAGCCACCAGAATCAAGATACAAGTACCTGCTAGTTTTTGTAGACACCTTCTCGGGTTGGGTAGAAGCATACCCCACTAGGACAGAGACTGCCACCATAGTAATTAAGAAATTACTCCAGGAGATTATACCTAGATTGGGGCTATCAGCAGTCATAGGATCAGATAACACCCCTGCCTTTGTAGCCAAGGTATCTCAAAGTATATAGCTCAAGTCTTAGGGGTATAAATTGGAAACTCCATTGTGCATACCGGCCACAAATTCAGGGCAGGTATGAACAGGACTCTAAAAGGACTTTAACTAAATTTATCCCAGAAACCGGTGAAAACTGGACCAACCTCCTGCCCTTTGCCTACTTACAGGCCAGGTGTACCCCCAACCGGGAGGGGTTCTTTCCTTTTGAAATCATGTTTGGTAAACCTTCCCCCTATCCTACCCAAAGTTAGGGGAGGAATTAAAAGCTAAAAGTCATAACCATTCCTTGTTCAAGTCCTTGCAGGCTCTGCAGTATACCCAGAGAGCCACCCATAAGCTTGTGCGAGACACCTTGCCAGTGCCAACCTCGGACCCTGTACATCCTTTTCAGCCTGGGGACTCAAGTCATAACTCCTTGTTCAAGTCCTTGCAGGCTCTGCAGTATACCCAGAGAGCCACCCATAAGCTTGTGCGAGACACCTTGCCAGTGCCGCCATCGGACCCTGTACATCCTTTTCAGCCTGGGGACTCAGTGTGGGTAAAGAAGTTCACTACCCAAGGGCTCAACCCAACTTGGAAAGGACTATACACTGCCGCCCTGCTGACGGCATCCAGACCTGGCTACACCACTCCCAGCTCCTGCACCAGAAAACGGCCTTGATCCTGGAAGCCAGCGGCCTCACCCGTGAGATCTAGGAGGAGGCTCAACACCCGCAGGAGGGGAACTGGACTTCAATGAGGACAGTACTGAGGGGACCATGGCACTGGGGCACTTAGTAACTAAGAACATTTTTTCCTAGCCAGTGAGAAAGTCCAGGTAATGGTCCTTCAACAACGGTACCAACCTGTATCCTCAGACGAAGGTCTCTAGTTCCATGATTGAAACTCTCCAAAAGAAAAGGGGGGAATGTAAGGCCAGAGAAAAACCCCCTCCTCCTATGTTTTAACTTTAACTTTAACTGACCTTTCCAGTAAACTCTGGTGCTCTGGTGTAGTCACAGCAGAGCTATTTTATCTCTTCCTGGGATCGGTTTATGCAGGACAGACCACCCTGGCCCCTCAGGAGATGAGTCAACTACTAACACAAACCAGACCTGTCCCTTCAAGAGATGAGTTAACTGTTAACCCAGTTTCCTGACATTCCAGGCCACCTGCGTGTGGCTTTTGCCCTGACATTCCAGGCCACCTGCGTGTGGCTTTTGCCCTGACATTCCAGGCCACCTGCGTGTGGCTTTTGCCCTGACATTCCAGGCCACCTGCGTGTGGCTTTTGCCCTGACATTCCAGGCCACCTGCGTGTGGCTTTTGCCCTGACATTCCAGGCCACCTGCGTGTGGCTTTTGCCCTGACATTCCAGGCCACCTGCGTGTGGCTTTTGCCCTGACATTCCAGGCCACCTGCATGTGGTTTTTGCCTTTATAAACCCATGTTCTGCAACTGCTCGGGGCTCCCAGTCAGC